ACAGTAAACCTTTGTTTGTCTATTGAAATACTAGATAGAGAGACAATTAACTGTGTATCGTCATACTTCAGCAAGTCAACTTCTTTATGTATAAACTACACTGAAAATGGGCCACAGCCTGAACCTCCATACCTTCATATAGTAAGCATAATTTGCATTGTCACTTCAATTAATTTGCTCATAACACAAAAGATTTCAAAGGGAGGAAAGGTGTACTAACCCTTTTAAGACATGAAGAAATTTAAAGAGGAGGTGTTTAATGATGCATAAGAAGTCTTAGAATGGAGAATAGCTCATGCAGAGCCAACCAAGCACCAAGTGCTATGATGTCTACAGCTGAGTATTAACCACTCTCTCAAGACATACCTTGATCAACATTAATTGTGAGAAGGGATGCAGTAAGAAATGTTTGGGAAAGTACAGGGGAATATTGGCCACTAAATTTTGATAAAGATTAGCTATTATTAATATTATTATGAATGCATCCCAAGTCTAATAGATTATGATTCATTTGATCCAGAAAAGAAATTTTACTCAGTTTCATTTAATTCACTGCAGTCATTTCCTTTGAGAAAGTTCATTAACTGAACCAAAAATGGAAGAATAAGTTGTTCTATGAAATTTGGGATATCTGAAACTAGGTACAATTTATACAAGCATGTTTGTTTGACTCTTAAAGGAAACAAACCCAAGACTGCTAGGAAAAAAATATGTGTAGGACATTTGAGTATATTAAATTTGACTTGCATTTTTCTTCATAAGCTAAGATGTTAATTTTAGCCTTCAATTAGGTCAACACCTGAACACTTTCAGTATCTATAACTTAACAAATGGCAAACCTTTAGTACCCATTCCCAATGGTTATTCATCTTTGTCACTCCTTGATATAAAAATGGTCTAAGAAAAAGATGTTAATATAGGCCAATTATTTTACTAGGCACACAACCTCCTTTCCTTAGTTTCTATGCTCAACCTTTTATTTATTTTTGTGTCTTTACAGTCTAGTTGCCATTCAAAATGAATTAAACCTAAATTGCTATCTCTAGTATGATGAGAGATTAATTGAAAATAAGATCTATTGATTGGTGGACTTCTTTTTTTCTATTGAGTTCCACCCATTGTGGTTTCAATGATAAACCAATGCATATGGTTAAAATTGCTCTGATGCTGCCCACATTTTTGAACCTCTGTCTCTGTCTTGAAATGCCTTCTGACAGCTGAAACCCTCACCTGACTTTTGTAGGTTTAAAACAATGGTCTCTGCATCATGATTTGGTTGCATATTTGTAATCTTTATGGAAATATAGAACATTTGCTAAAATTATTTGTTCCTTTAGGAGATTTTTTCTGTTTGTTGGTTTTGTCCTATTCAGGTTTATTTTAATTTTAACCTACTTTTGTTTTATTTTATTATTTTTAGATACCTGTATTTTTTTTGGGGGGGTTGGTTTTTTTGAGGGGTTGTTTTTTTTTTATAATGCAAGCAAGAAAGGATGTGGATTTGTGATGGAGGATGTCTTTCTGTACATATGTGTCTCTTATTGGTTGATGAAAAGAGCACTGTTTGGCCAATAGAGGCAGAAAGATAGGTGGGACTAGGAGACAAGAAGAATTCTGGGAAAGATAGGCAGAGATAGACCCCAGAGATGCCATGTAGCTGGCAAAAGGAGTAACAGGTTTGGCATTCTCTGGTAAGCCAAGACCATGTAGAAATATATAGATTGATAGAAATGGGTTAATAATCAAGACAGAGCTAGATGAAAAGCAGCCCTAGCCATTGGCCAATGGTTTTATTGTTACCATAAGACTTTGGAGATGAAGGGCACCAGGACCTGGCTGAAAGAAACTCCAGCAACAGATTTGTGTGGAGGTGGAAGTAAGAAAGATCTGGGAGGAGTTGGGGGAGGGGAGACTATAATCAGAATACATTATATGAAAAAGAATCTATTTTCAATTTAAAAAGAGAGAAATACTTTTTATCAACTAATAAAAGCTTGGGCACTATAAGGATAGATAGTAGTTGGTCTCAATAGTGTTTTACTTTTGGAGCTGAACAATAGTTTGGTCCATATCATTTAGACACTGAGGTATTAGAATAATGAATCTTCAGTGATTTGTCTATGGAAGGTGTTTGTATCTTATACCATTACTGGGGAATAAGAAACTTGGTGTCAATATTTTACATATTTAGTACATGGGAATAAAATATGCCTGATAAAATACTGAACAGAAAATCTAGAGTTTTGAGGTTTTATGAATACTAGAAACTGAAAGAGTGAAAATGATACCAATAACAGATAGGAAAGCAGTTTGAGAGTCAAGGTTTAGTAAAGCATCTTATGTTGTTTTTAAGAAAATTTCAATTATTACATTTTTTCAGTAAAGACTGGTATTGTAGTTTGAATGTTATTGGCCCCCATAATCTTACAGGGGACCATATATTTTGGAAATCTATTCCACCCAACCATGAGTTCAGGAGAGCCCAGAATTTCTATTGTCTTTTAAATGCCAGCCAATAGCTGCTGGATGTCCTGGCCTTGGTGGAGAATGACTCCTATCTAAATAACAATAGCCTTGGACCAGGGTGAGTCTATACCCATCATGAAGGCTAGTGAGATGGTGAGATGTGCTAGGATAAAGGAGCCTGAAGCCCTTTATACATGATAACAGATGTCTTATGCCATTGCCCCCACTTTTGGATGGCTACTTAAGATGATGTATCAATAAACTGGGTGGAGTTCTGTATTGACTGGCACTGCCCTCCTATTATGATCAGGTGTCTCTGTCTCTTCTTTAATGTAATTGGATAGCTAGCTTTCCCTCATCCACACTCCCTGACTCATTGTCAGACCTGGAGTGTTTGGCTGGTTCTGATCTAAGCCCCCAAAGACAGACAGTCTGTAAGAAATGGCTCCAGAATATGGGGTAATACAGATGGTCAGACACAGTAGTACTATTAGGAGGTGTGACTTTTTGGAGTAGATATGGCCTGGTTAGAGGTAGTGTGTCACTATGGGAGTGGGCTTTGAGGTTTCCTATGTTCAGTATACTGCCCAGTGTCTCAGCAAATTTCCTGTTACCTGCAAGATATATAAATCTCAGCTACTGCCCCAGCACCTTTTCTGCCTGTATGCTGCCATGCTCTGCACCATGATGATATTGGATTGAACCTCTGAAACTGTAAGTGAGTCACCCCAATTAAATGCTTTACTTTATAAGAGTTGTTGTGGTTCATATACCCAAAGGATGCTTGCTCACCTAAGTTTGTAACAGCCTTATTGGTAATAGCCAGAACCTGGAAACAAACTAAATGTCCCTCAACCAAGGAATAGATAAAGAAAATGAGTTACATTTACACAATGGAGTATTACTAAGCTGTTAAAAAGTAAGACACAAGGGAATTCAATGAAACTAGAAAACAATCATTGTGAGTGAGGTAACCCAGACCAAGAAAGACAAACATGGTATGTACTCACTCATAAGTGAATATTAGCTGTAAAATAAAGGATAACCATGCTATTATCCACAGTCCTAGAGAGGCTAGGTAACAAGGATTATTCAGGGGGCATACACAGATCTCCTCATGAAGGGGAAATGGAAGAGATTTTGTGAGTGGACTGAGGGCAGGTGGGGATGGGAATATGAAAGATCAGGTTGTGGGGGTGACACAGGGGAAGAGTAATTACAGAGATTACTGGAAAGGTGGATCATTTTGAGGTGAGGTAACAACCTGGTACAAAGAAATCTCCCAGGAATCTATCAAGAAGGAAGAACCCTAAACCCTGGTTAGACTCCTAATAGTAGCAGATACATAGCCTTAATTGACCATCTCTTGTGAGAAGACTGATGCCTAGCCCTATTGTCAACAGAGAGACTTCATCTAGCAACTGATGGAAACAGATGCAGACCTACAGACTAACTAATATTAGGTGGAATTCAGGACTCCTGAAGAAAAGACAAAAGGAACAAGCATAGGAGCCAGAATGGTCAAGGATACCACAAGAAAACCCACAGAATTACTAACCTGTGCTCATAGAGTCTCACAAAGACTGAAGGGACAACCAGGGAGCCTGCATGGGAAGTTTGGTCCTCTTGTGAGAGTCCTAATAGTGGGAACAGGGGCTGTCTCTGATTCTTTTGCAGGTTGTTAGGACCGTGTTCCTCATCTGGATTGCCTTGCCTAGCATTAATACATGGAGAGGTGCTTTGTCTTACCAAGATATGCCATGTTTTGTTGATAGTTGTGGGAGACCTGCCCTTCCTAAACAGAAATGGAGGACAAGGGATTGGGAGAAGGGACTAGTAGAAGAGGGGGTAGAAACTTTGGCCAAGGTGCAAAATAAACAAATAAAGTAAATAAATAATTTTTTAAAAAATAAAAAAGAGTTTCTGGGTTCATGCTGTCTCTTCACAAAAATAGAAACCCTAACTAAAATAACTCGGGAGCCAGATGCTGAGGTCAGAGCCTGCTAGCTTAGAGAGACAAAGCACCCATCTAGCCTTCCTCCTCAGCCAAAGTCCCCAAAGCTTCCTTTTCTGTCACCATTTCAAACAAACCTCCCCTGACTCAATGTCCCTCACTTCTACTTCCTGTGTGTCTCACTGTTCATCCTCCTGACTCCCTCTTGCTCTCTGTTTTTTTCTTAATTATCCTATGTACACTTCCTATCAACCTGTCATCTGGTTGCTTGCTCAGCTTCTTGACCTATTGTGGACTTTATTTAATCCTCTTTACAATATTCAAGCAGAAAGCTCTTGGATTAAAGGTGTGTGCTAGAGCCAAGCCCCACCACAACTAGAAACAGGTTTGTTCAGTAAATAATACAATCTCTAGGTTCAGATTGTGATCCAAATATCCTGCAGCAATGATAGTTCCCATTGAGGGTTTTATGCATGTACATATGTTGGTGCATGTGAGCGCACACATGTGTTAGCATGCTGGCACATGTAGTTCAAATGAGAAAAGGGTAGGTTAACACAACCTCTAAAGAAGAAGGAAAATATTTTAAGGCATTGTAGTTTTTTAGGTATGGGATGAAAAATAATAATGGTACAATAATATTTCAGAGGACATCATATAAGCAATACTCCTACTTAACAAAGGGAGATCTAAACTCTAAAATGTATTAGTTTAGTAAGATGAAAGTATTTATCAAATAACCATAACCCCTGTGTCCTTAGAACACAGGATGACAGTCTTTTCAAACAGAATATTTTTAGAGAACATAACAACACTAAATCTTTCCTCCTCCCATCACCTGACCCACCATTTTCACAGTACTTCATGCCAAGAAGAGATAAGGTTTCCTTCTTGTGTGCTGAAGAAATGATACCTACATTTCCCATCATGCATGGTTGCTTTAAAGCAAATAAAACAACAAAATAAATCATCCATACAAACTTGTGATTTCTGCCTCTCCTTGAAACAGTTTTGTGGAAGTGAAACCAGATGGAACATTGTTTTTCAAGGAGAAATGGGAAGGCTTCATGGGTATTCTTCAGAAATATATACAGAGACACAGGCATGATTGTCTCTTGGTCCTTGTCTCCCTGGAAATGAGAGAAAGTCATGATTGAAAGGTCTGGGTTACAGCAGGCCATGCTGTGTCTATACTGGGCATCTGAGGGCATAATGAGAAACTGTTCAAAGGTGGTTCTTATTTAGTAATGACAGCACTTCCATGATATGGTTCCATTAAATATCAGCAGTTGTTACTCACCAGGGGAAAGGAGGCCTAGAGAAATGACTTTGTGTTTCTTTGTTGTTCAACTCTCAGAAGAACCTTAATAAATATTCAAGGAGAAGTTTTAAAGTCCAGTGCTACTGTTAAGTAAATACACATGGGAAAATAGTTTGTACACTCTTGGAAAATGTAGAAGGTACATAGATATATGTGATGTATTTTTGTGCAGTCTACAATCATCACTCCGATTTGCATATTTAAATGGTTTAAATAATATTTCTGGTGTCTTTGGAATCCTTTTACTCCAAAAATAAACTGTCATTTGCTTGCCTTCTGGTTATTGTGGAAATGATTCACCTGTGGGTTTTTGCGGTTGATCATGGGATTGTTTCTAAGAAATCCCAGCCAGCAATACATAGCTAGACTTAAGGCAGATGGAAAGAGCTGGGATTGGTTGTCCTGCCGTTCATCTAGACATTGCCCTGTTGTGGGGAATGCTGAGATCAGAAAATGATTTTTTTTCTGGAAGGTAGCTGTCATGAAATTAGTTTGAATGTTGTTCCTGGCACAGCTATATGGTAACCTTGGCACTTCCATTATCTTCTAATCCTCAGTCATATCCTTTATAATGTGGGGGTGATAATTGCATGCCACAGGTGCATTTTAAGTACTAACATTTTAATGCCTTCTAAATTGTAAGGGATTATGCAAATAGTTGTTAGATAATCATATTATTATATTATTGCTATAATATAATATATTGAGGATACACAAGACAACAAGTATGCTATGTTTCATATAACTTATTCGTTTTCCTTTGGTGAAAGTCTTTCTGGATAATGTTCTGCAATTGATGTATGTAAAAGTAGAGCTGGTCCTGTACACACAAAATTGACAATACCATCCCCACCTTATTCTACTTGCCTGTGTAGGCAAAGACCATACAAGTTCAAAGGACAAGGAAAAAATGCTGATGTTTGACAAGGAGAATGACCCCATTGGAGAACTTTTGAATCTGAACTGACCTTTAAATTCTTAAATTTCTTTTTTATGGTATATATTTTACAAATGAACTTTTACTATTCCTTACATGTTAAGCAAACCCATGTAAACACTCAAAATAATTTGCTAAAGGCAGCTGGTGCCTGCTATTTAATCACCTAGAAATATCACTTGACATTTGTGCTCTCTTTTGTTCCACTGACAACTTAAAATAGAATAATGACCCTCAGGAGCTGAAAGTGTATGAGATGTCAAGGAGGAATACTTACAGTTTGTTTTAGAGAGGCTATTCTAGGTCTAAAGAATAATTGAAGTTTGATGCCTCAGGCAGCCTGCTGATGAAAATATTTTAAGATGTGAGTACTGTGGAAACAGCTAAGTTCTCTGAATAAGACCAGGCATGATTTTCAGAAAGGAGAAGTGTGGAGCTATATTTGTAGTGTATATACTATGTCTGATTGAGTGCTATAGCCACTTTTGTCCTCAGAAGTGTTCATCACATAGACTGCTAGTTTCCTCATCATGTCAGAAAGCAGGGGAATTCATTTTTCTCTGTCTTACACCAGTTTTCCTTTTAGAATTTCCCATGACAACAGAATAACCTTTGCATTGAGTTTGATAATCATGACAAAAGTCTTCTTGCAGCCAGGACTCCATATTCTGTCATAGACTTTGGGAGATCATTTGTTGCTTGTTTACAAATTCACCTTTTAACCTCATCCATCTTCCATTCAACTGAGGAAATTCTAGTATCAACTTCTTCTTTTCCTGTCTCCTTGGCATCAGTTTCTCTGATGTTTGCTTCTCATGCACTCTTCCCTTTCTGAAATGATTTGGTGACTCAGTATACAAAACTGCATCCTAGGAAAATTCTGCTACCTATGTGCCAAGAGCCTGAACTCTACTCTGGTCCCTCTTCTCTCTTCTGTCTTAGCTATCATTCACTGCTTCTATATGAAATGTTACTTACAGGGAGATTCACTATCACTATGTCAACAAATGCTTTACCGGAAGCAAGGAGGAATAATGAAGGATTGATGTAAATTAACAGTTCACCTGTGCTCTCTCTCTCTCTCTCTCTCTCTCTCTAGGCAAATACCAATATGGAGCCAGGTAAAAATACAAGGGAATTTAATAGGGAAAAGCCTTACTTACAGAGCGACCAAGCCAGCCAGCAGGGCAGCAGTCTGTCCAGCAAGCCTAAAATGAAAGTGAAACTATCCCACCACGTAAGCATCCCTCTCTCTATGTCACCCTGACCACGCCTTCAGAGGCATGGTCAGGCACACCTGTAGCCAGCCCCTAAGCAGGCATGGCTACAGCATCTCCTAAAATTCCCCTTTTAGTCTAAAAGAGGATTAAAACTTAACAGTGTAAAGTATCCAAAATTAACAATCATAAAGGTGAAATATAAGAAGATACAACAATCTGCTTATGTCACATCCTAACCATATCTATTTTAACTAAAGCCTAAAGTCATCTGAAAGAGGTGTCTAAGCCTGAACACCTCCTTCCAATCCCAACCATAAACAATAGGAAGCTATCCCTAACTAAGTATATACACTATTCTAAGGACAACAATGAGAGAAAGGGGGAATAGCATCCTCCAAGTTACTTCCTGCTGAAATGGGACAATGATAGCCTTGTAGGGTCCTTTAGGAAGAAAATGTTAGTATAGTGTAAGTCTTGAATGGATTGTATCCAGTCCAAGTTAGATGAGATTTGCTTGATTGAAGATCTTGCTTGAAATCCTCAACTTGATTGAAGTCAGTACAGGAAGCTCAGGCTGGAGTGTCCATTGAAATGGAGCATGTTGGGTCCAGTGCAGTTGAGGAGGTGTGGCCCATTTCCTTTCCGGGGTGTCCATGGATTGCTGTAATGCAGGTCTTCATTAACTTAGTGGGACTCAAACATAAATGTTAGCAGAAAAATGTTTGCTTGTGTAAGTATGTATACTAGAAGCATAACAATTAAGAGAGGGTGTGCACCTCAAAAGAAAGAGCCAAGAAAAGACAAAGACAGTCCCCAAATTCTTCTCTTGTTCTGTATTACATCAATTGGCTTCTTGATACAATACAGAAACTCAAAAGTTTAGTTAAACAATCTGCTTGGATTTTAGAGGAAGAAAGACAAATCCACCTCTAAATCCAACATTGGTTTAAATGAATAGGGACTAGGAAATAAAGAGAAAGAGAGTTCTCTGAGAGACAGCTTACTGTATGGTAAGTTCCTTTTGTTTGATGGTTATACCTACCTTCTCTTCTTAAGTATCTACCCATGCAGTGTTCTTGGACTTCTGGAGATGAGTTTTCCTGTGAAGATAAAAGCAAAACACTTCCCTTTCCTTTGTGAGGTTTCTATTTAGTTTATGAGATATACTTTAGTAGAATACCTATCATTTCTCCTCACCAAGCGGTTTTTCCTTTTCAACTCAAATCTTAATCAACTTTGATGGAATCCAAAGATTTTCTTCTCCTGTGGAAACCAATGCAAAACCCCTACCACATCGTAACACATGTCCTAGTTTCCATACA